GCGGGGAGGGGGAGCAATCGCAAGGCTCAGGGGTCGTGGGCCGAGTTACATGCGCTCGTGTTTGCTTTCATGCTTTGCGCACTCGGGAGAGCGCCAGTGTGAGCCGAATCACCACACGGCTCAGCGCACGTGGCGCTGAAGCTTCATTACGGCTGGAGTGTAAACTCAAGTATACGATGTTCCCTGACACGAACATAACTACTCGACCCGTATAGTGGCATGTAAAGAAAGTATCTTTATTCGGAGGAAATTCTGATATAGGCGGTACCTAATTCCTCCAAAGTTGATTTGTTAACGCTTATACTACTTCATTTTCCTAAACAAATACTCATCATACCAGATCGTTCAAGATAACTATCATGGTGTCTACCTGTAAACTCTTTTAGTTTTAAATGCTCAACTTAATTTCTTGCTCATTACCTACCTTGCCTACGTATCCAAAACAAGCACTATTCAAATTAAACGATCAAAATCTATATTTAAAAGGGGTCCTGTCGTGCAAAAATGTATCTAAATATTCACGTCCTTACAAGTTCGACAGTTTAAAAACTATTGGCCATTGTGTACTTGCATTTACTCGCATTACCAAGGAGACATATGTAATAAAAACTGGCAATAACTGTTTTGAAACTTTATTTCTTAACTGCCATTAAATTTATTGTACCATGTTTCTTGTCATATCACTTCATGTGAAGCAAACATTTTTTTTTCTATGAAAACACCGTCGAGCACCTGATATTTAGGGCGGAGTTGAAGAAAAGCCGTGTCGTCCCTGTAGCGTCTCTGACCCGGAGGTCGCAGAGTTGACGACCCTAGAGAGACGCTTATCCGGCACCAACTGTTGCTTGGTCCAATTCGTCCACCGCCTGTAAGGGAATTGTAGTGGCTTGCTCCTTTGGTCGGTAGTTCTCCGTGGTCTCTTCGATCAACAACAGGCGAATGCCGGAACAATAGTACGGCGCGTTCATCCCTTCCTCATCCTCTCCCTCTACACCCACACCCACACGCACGCACGCACTCTTACACTTTTAGGCACTATACCAATCGGAAGACCTTAGCTTGTCCGGGCTGGGGGAACACCCTCAGGGCTGTGGGAGACATCGCACTGCTTGATTCAGTCGCGATCATGCGATATCTAGCGTCACGACTGAGAAAGGCACGAAATTCCGTGAGATAGGACCTGGCGCGCAACGTTATAAAAACCGAAGTACAGTAACAGATTACGAATAATAAGAGGTCGGTTTAATAGAGAAATGCGTATCATTGTCAATCACAGGAAAACGTCTCCACAGCAGAAGCACAATTGTCTCACTGCCACGAGGGCCTTCCGTGCTCATCTAGGAAGTGAAGGATCGAGAGTAGAGAATAGGAGAGATCTTCAATTTCTGAAGAGTATGGGTCTTCTGTATGTTAATTAGAAAGCGTTCAAATCTTCAAGGTGTTTCGCAATTAAAATTTAATTATTCTGCCTTGTTGTGTTTTGTAAATACTTCCGTGAAAATTAGCTCGAGGCATCATGTGGCAAATTCAATTCAATATTAATGTCTTATTTTATGCGCCAAGACTCAGGCCATCATGACTGCTCTTCCGTCTGATCATGCAAATTTCGCTACGCTCCTTTCCCCAACTAGAGAAAGAAGGTATCACTCGGGCGGCGAAACAGGCGATTTGAAGTTAGCTATTTTCACGCATGAGGATACTTTACATGCACTAAATATACATCATGAGAAATCCGGCTTTACGTCTCTGAAGAAAGGCGTACGAAAGATGTTTTCACCCTTAACAATCCACAATTCGATCGGGTTCGGGCACTCTCAAACTTGGGTATAACAGCCCGCTACGCTAACAGTTACCATGGTGTTAATCTATGGTTACAACATCGAAGCAGAAAATAGCCTGACGCTTATAGTGGTAAATACTGTACTTCATAACATCAATAGTGTAATAACTTGTGTAATAAACAATATTATCTAATACTCTACGCAATATAATATGTTATATACTAATAACATACGTTTACCAGCACGTGTGTCGACGAGCTTTAAGGCAACGCCTTACGACTCGGACGTATTTTTGATAGGGAGGTCGCGGGTTCGATTTTTCCGGGACTTGCCAGAAATTGACTTTATGCGATTAACATCGATCGGTTCTATAGGTCTTCTGTAACTACTAACTGAACGTATTTTAACACAATACAAGACACCCTCGCCAATACAAACTATTCTTGTTTAACTCTATTACTGGACAGACAGGTACAACCCTGCAGTTCAGTCGCATGGTATATAAAGTAATTAGTTTAATTTCGCATGTATTAGAATGTCCAAGAAGATTTCATCCTGCAGATTACAGTAGGAGGAAGATTGCTTTGAGGCCTTTGGACTAACAATTACATATTTTAAGGCTTAGAAGGCTTCGTTATGGTGTTTTATAACTATTTAGATTTCATCAGCGCTGTCGGAATGTAGCGGGTAGCATTGAAAATGAATATTTAAATGCATTTTTTTAGCAAATCCTTCATATTTTTTATGTTAAAGTACTATTCGTCACGTGGCCGTGAAATTGTCTTTCTTTAGAGACCTTATTTGTGAACATTGGTTGCATCTGAAAACCGCAAGACTCATCTACAATTCTGAAAAAATATAGAAGAAGAATAGTCTGTCCAAAGGACTAGAATATGCTAATTTAATTCTCCAAAACACTACTCAGGGATGTAACTATGCATTACATCAGTACAATATCACGTCATAAGATTCTTGTTTTCGACGTAGTTGTTAGTAGTAACAAATTAATCTCACACCTGGATTAGTGTATCTCGTTTTCATTTATCTAAAATGATTTATATACTTCAAATCGTCACTGAACAGCTCCATGACTGGTGTAAGTAAAATAATGCAATCCCTAATTGAAATATATTTATTATTTCTGCAGGTGGTTTTTGCAACGTCGTGGCAAATATTACAATTTTTAATTAAGAATATTAATACAATGTAACATTAAATTATTTAAAAATCATAATATAAATATTTATCGCAATGATAATAACAATAAAAGCAATAATAATAAAAACAGTAACAACATTTTATAGCTATCCTGTACAACTATTTTAGTATATTTATCACGTGTTTTTTTTAACTTCACAGTATTACTCAACAGTTCAATACAAACACTACATTAAAAATTATTTTCTTTTGTATTTAAGAAAGCAATACAGTTAATAATAATAATAATAATAATAATAATAATAATAATTATTATTATTATTATTATTATTATTATTATTATTATTATACTTTTTTAATAAGCCGAAGTTACTGATTAATAAAATTTACAGGTATCACTCATTTACTTTTATGGTATGAGTGTTCCTTGTGTCGTTTCTATTTCGTTCATATTTGTGTTTTGAATTTATGAAATTTCTGCTTGTTCACAAGGAATTATCGCACTGTCTTGTTATTGCCGTCCACGCTGGTGTACCTAAATTCGCTTTAAAGACGCAA